GAAGACATGCATCACACACACGCACGCTTATTACACAATTCGCCCTCTCTCGGAGGGACCAAAAGAATAATACAAATTTAACTAACTAACAAGCTAATTAAATAGTTACAGACCACTTAAACTAGTTAAGCAAATCAATTAAGCTAAGAAAAGCAGTAAAGAGGCCTCGGGGGGAGAGTCCAATGCATGCGTGCTCGGCTTCGCTCGGAAATCCACCACCATGCACAAGCTGCCTCTGTTTACCCTGCTCTGCTCCTCTGAAAATTGTGCAAGTCTCAATGATGCTCCAGAATCACTTCCTGATCACTGTGGAAGGTCACCGACCAAGAGGAAACACCACCGGCCAGGGGAAACTGGTCATCGACCATTGGTATGGCTCTCGGCCAAATATATTTAGTCGGCCGGCACTTAATATGGTCGGTCGACCATCTATGCTTGCAGAATCCTATTTGACAGCAGCAGAGGGCAGACAAGGCATGGCAATGCATTTTCAAGCAAATGTTTGCACCACCAACCTCCCCATCATGCTATGAACTCAAGGGAGTGTGGCCCTCGACCCTCGGGCTACCAATTGCGCATTTCAATGCATGATGGTCTGAGGTGTCAAGTTATGCATTTTGATGTCAAATGAAATGCACACAAACACCTAAGGGGCCCAACCTCTATCATGGTGATTCAAGAGGCAAGGCATGCATGCCAAATGCAACCTAAGCATGCAAGATAAGCATGCAATATGAACATGAGGCCAAACATGCACACATGCAAGCATGTAACAACATATCAATGGCAAAACATGCAACAACATGTTAGGCAACTAAAAGAGAGAATGCATGTCAAATGCATTTCAACCTAAGCATGCAACAACATGCCATATAGTTCAAGCAATGCAACAAAAAGCAATATAGCTAAGCATGTATCAAAAATGCAAGCAATGAGCATGCAAAACACTATGCAACCAAAACATGCAAGCATGAAGCAATGTAACAACATTTGAACAACATGCAAACGGTGGACTTAAACTAGTATGGACAAGCCTCAGTTATGTCTAAATAAGTAGCCAAAATGCTATGGAAATGAAGGCAAATTTACATACAAACATGCATGCGAACATGGTCCAACACTTAAGCACAAAGAGGGGACTTTTAAGCACACTTAAAAGGAGATGATCATGGACCAATGACAAGCATGGCAAACTCTGAAAATCATGTTAAAGATGGTGCTAAACCAACTAAACAAAGCAATCAAAGTATGCAACCAAGGTCTAAAGCTCAAAGTTATCCTAAGGGATCAAACCATGGCTATGCAAGGCGAGTCCCAAAGGGTCGAGGAGACTTAAAACAGTCCCAATGTAGGTCGAGACAAGGCCCAAAATGCACTTAGATGGCATCTAAATGGCCTACACATGGAAGCATACATAATGGTTCAAACATGGAGCATAAAACATCAATCTTTTAAAGCATCAAAGGAGTATCAAATGCAAGCATACAAGCATACCATATGGACTGAAATGACATGATAAGTGGTGCCAAACCACTGAAATGATGTAAGGAGAGTATGCTAGAGAGGCCAACACTCAAGGCCTATAAAGGAGATTGCATGGTAGCTATACAAAGCAAATCATGGACGACCCAAATAACCAAAGTCAGACCTCAAGCACACTAAAACATGCATAAAAGCTTCACAAAGCTAAGCCAAAATCATGCTAAAAACAAGGCTCAAAGCACAAAGCATGTTAAAGCAATTTCATGGCATTACAAGACAAGTATGCAAAGCATGCATGGTGTGTCTAAACCAACTTGAAACAATGCTATATCATGACAAAATAAACACAAATACCAACTAAGACATGGCCAACACGAACTTAAGAAAGGTGCTCACACATGAGGCTAAAATGACAAGTTTTGAAGACAACAAGGAGAGGGGATGGCCCTCTCCTTCTTAGGACCTCAAAACACCATCCTCACCACAGAAATCCCTCTGGATTTCAGTGGTGAGGAGGCCAACACAAGGTGGTCCCGGAGCTCACCAAAAATAGCACAAAAAGGAGGCCAAACAAGGCCTAAGGGGAGGTAAACAACCTCAAACACCAAAGCAACCTTAAACAACTATTTTAAGCAAGTAAAATTAGAACTTTTATCAGTTATAGACTAAGCTCAAAAATAGATGCAAGATAGGCAAAAGGCTTATGCAAAAACAGGGAATAAAGAACAAAAATCTCACCCTTGTAGACCACCTTCAAGAACAAGGCTCCAGCAGCCTTTCCAAGCTTAAATCCACTCAAAAACTTCAAGAACAACCCTTTGGCACCTCAGCAACCAAGGTAAGGTGTGACACTAGGTGTCCTAGTGTAAAACTAAGAACAAATACACCTTATACACACACAAGAGTGAAATAGAGGGAGATATAGAGATAGAGAGATACAAATCCTAAACCCTAATCTCAGACCCTCTCTGAACCTTTTTAGAACCTTTGAGGAGGGAGGAGAATCCCTCCCTTTATAGAGATTCACTCTTGCAAAGCTTACAAAACAAGCTAAACAAGAAGGGAATCCCTCCATACATGTATGGAGGGGGTGCATTGTGGATGCCAGCTATCACAGCTGGCATAAAATATCTGCCAAAAGCAGATGAACAGTGATCGGCCAGCCAAAAATGACAAGTTGACCAAAACAATGGTCGGCCGACCATAAATAGTGCCGGCCTGCCATTACCAATGGCCGGTGGAAACAAAACATGGACGGTAGCCTCAAGCCATGGCCGATAAGGTGTAGGGATGGCCAACAAGCCATTTCCTGCCCTCAGAAGCAAAACAACAAGTGTTTGGTGCAAAACCAAACACAATACAAGCAAGTCGAAAGGTCTTGAGGCAAGGCGCATGGCCGAGACCTTCGAGAACTCAGGACGAATACAAACATGGATAGTCATCGAGTGTTCAAACGATGACGTCCAAGTCTTGAGAACGGTAAAAAATGGGGTGCCTACACCACCAACTATGAAAAGACCACTCGAAAGACCGAAAAAGAATAGAATCCCATCAAGGGGTGAGAAACTAAAACAAATAAGGTGCGGGAGATGTGATAAGTTGGGAAGCCACAATCGAAAATCATGCAAGGAGCCGATATTGGGTGTACATTTTTTATTTCAACGTTGTGTTTTACATGAGATTCTTGTATTGATTGCTGAAATAAGATTGTGTTATGTTGGCACACATTGTGTTGTAATAAGATTACGTTGCGTTGGTAAACATAATAATGCATTAGTATTTGATTTGTGTTTTATTTTTAATTTTTTAAGGTACCAATCTGACATTTTTGTTGTTGTGTTTTGGATGAATACATGATGTTAACATTCACACTTGTGTAATATAATCACATTATGTGAATAATTGCACATGGATTGAAATTTTAAACATTTATGTGGTGTGAATATTCACATTTTTGTTACCGTTGACAAAAATCAAAGTAGATGACATGAACGTTTACATCAATGTAACCATTCACATCATCAACTCAGAAGATGTGAATATTCATATATGTATTACAAAATGTAATTGTCAGTGTTTGTTGCTAGCAAAAATTAGATGTTCTTGTGTATATTATGATGCATGCATGGGCGTGCTGTGAATATTAACATCGTTGCTGCCATTCAAATAATCAGAAGCTACGATGTGAATATTCACATCATCAAATTATTAGATGTGAATATTGACTTATGTGTTAAGAAATATCATATTTACACCTGTCATAGTGTGTTACAATAACACTTTAAGCAATATTCACATCCATATAGTATGGCTTTAAAACATAAGTGTATGATCATTCTGTGATGTGAAAATTCACATCATGTCATGTGTCAAAAAAAAAGAAGAAAATACAATCTCAATGTGCATGACCAACACAAAATAGGCCTCAAAATGCATATACATATATTGACTGAAAAATATCTATACAAGTAGTGATATAGACTTGATTTACAATTAAGCTAGTCTGCTCCAATATGTAAAATCTATTGACACTAAATTGTCTTAAATGTGGATAACAGATTTGGGTAACAGTGATAGGTGGACACCTCTCACCTATAGGTTTTCACATTGCACTGTTTTTCTGTGATTCAGAAAAAAGGTGTACTAATGAGTCTCTTATTTGACACCATTCAACGCGATTTAGGCTGTCAACAATATCTTCACGGTATACATGCGCCCTTATGATGTAACAAACTGCAGGCCTGCAATCCACCCTGAAAATGAAAACTTCTTGTTAGATTTTGAAATTTAGGTATGTAATGGTTGTGGAACATGTGCACAAATGGATTTTAGGCTTACGAATCTGATGCTTGCTGGGGACAGATGTCTACTGATATGATTGGTTGCGAAGTATTTTGGCTTGATAATTTGGTCCATAATGGTGATGTTGGTCCGATGTTGCGCACCAAAGCCTCGATGTAGTCCCTCTACCAACAATGAAATTTCATATTAGGCACCAAGCAACATAGTGCATACGTCCAAGTTCAAATATTACACATCATGACAAGTATTATATGTGTCAGCCACTTATCACTATTTGTGCTTTGTCAATATATGGGTCATGTATGCTGGGTCTTGGGCGTAGCAAGTTATAATGCCTCCATGCATTGTCTGTTACGTCGTACACAACAATCGTCCAGCGGAAGTTGTCGTGTATTGGGAAGATTAAGAATCTCTGGCCTTGATACTCCTTGATATGTACATCAATCAGTTTATTTCTCTTGTTGGGGGGGGTTACTCTTGTATGATTTTCTGCACACAAAGGTCATACAATGATCTACCAAGTATTTATATCAATGTTCGATGTGAATGATGTGAATGTTCACATCTGCTAATGATGAGTGATGTGAATGTTCACATCTGTTAATTTGTGAAACAGTCATGCAATGTATTACAAATGTAAATGTTCACACCTGTCATATTATGTTGTTGTTAACATTCACATCTGTGTGTCATTTAAGTTAACAATATAATAAGCATATAATGTTCACTGCAAATGATGTTAATGTTCACATCTGTCAATGCGAATGTTCAAACCTGTTATTTTATGTTGTTGTTAACATTCACATCTGTATATCAATGTTCAATGTGAATGTTCACATCTGTTAATTTGTCAAATAGCTATGCAATGTATTACAGATGTGAATGTTCACACCTGTCATATTATGTTGTTGTTAACATTCACATCTGTGTATCATTTAAGTTAACAACATAATAAGCATATAATGTTCACTGCGAATGATGTTAATGTTCACATCTGTCAATGTGAATGCTCAGACCTGTCATTTTATGTTGTTGTTAACATTCACATTTGCCTATCATTTAAGTTAATAATATAAGCATATAATGCTGAGATGAACATTGACATCTATTGAACATGCAAATCAAATACTGTTCATGTGAACATTCTCATTAACATCAAACATACACAAACAAAAAATGTAGTGGTTACCAAACATGTGCTTGTAAAGATGAATGTCAAATCCTCCAAACTTGGGTTGACTAGTCCTTGTAGTTCGAGTAGAATTTCACCATATGCATCTATCACCTGCACAAACAGAGGGGTGGCAGTACATTATTTGCAGTGTCTTTACAGTGTGTGTGTGTGTATGTGTGTGTGTGTGTGTTTTGTACACATTTACGATTGTCATACATTGTTGGTTATTGATTATTCTTTAATGATGTGTATGATGTCATCAAAATACACGTCTTTAGTCTTTGAGTCCCCTCGCCACACAAGCAACCTGTGCATTGTGATTACAGAAAACGTTAATGTCAACATTGCACATTTATGAAATGATCTAATCTATTAAGTACGTATGGGAAGGTCAACATCAGCATAAAAATAAATTCAGTTGGGGATATGTAAGATCACTTACTCATCACCGCCGTTCTTGTGTAAATTTTGGACCTTTTGGCTGTTGAGTTTGCTCATGTTGGCCCAAACCTTCAGTTTGTTGTTCAAAGATTGTTGGGTCCTTTTTTTGTGGATGTTTGTCTAAATCTTGTGCAATTTGGATTGCATGGGATTGCTCTTCAGCTCCCTCTTTCTCTTTCTTTTGACCAGGCAAGTTGGGGTATTCAAACTTATCCAACCGGTGCTCTTTCCTTACCTTCTGCTTGATGCGTTTTACCCTCGATGGTGGGCTGATAATGTGTTCAAATACTGCAATGGGATGCTTCTTAAGGCTGTCATGAGCCTTTTGTGCTTCAAATTGAGTGATAATGTGGAGGGACTGATCATCAAAAAGGTTTTGAAGAATTATTTTTTTATATTCCAAGTTGATGACCAACTTTGTCAACCGCTGAATTTCTGTATCTTTCCACTCCATGTAATTCTTGATGTCCATGTCCATATTGGATGGGCTCGATTGGTCAAATAGTTTGGCTTCAAGGGCAGCAATCACCCTTGCCCTCAACTCCCACGATTCTTCCAACTATTTGTATTTCGCTTTCCATTGTCGTACGAGACCCCAAGCTTTTTGGTTTTCTTTTATAAGTACATCCACAATGTTCGGCTCACTTGGTTGTGCTATGATGATACCTCTCTTAGCATTGGGGGTGCTAAAGCTGGTGTTGATGTCATGTCCAACATCATTTAGGTCCATTGCATCGCCAGAAATTCCATCGCTGTTGTCACTGCCTTGATTGTCTTTGCTTTCATCATCATTGTTTTTATCTTACTTTGCTGGTGCACTCGACAAAACCTCAGGTTTGGGCTCCACATTCAATTTTGTATGATGGTACATCTTTGCTTCAGTTGGGGATGCCATCAGCTCGCCGCCATATACCTGCTGTTGGAGACATTATGTTAGTGACATAGTTCCTTGTCTTACTATGTGAATGAGCACAATATTTTTTGTTGTACTTCTACCTCATTTAAACCAAACTTAGCCAAAGATATGGACTTCATGTTGGTATGTAAGGCTGTGAGGTCCCACTTCACACATCGCAGAATGGCATTAGGGTTGCGAGGTTGTAAGATTGTTGTATGCTCACACAACCAGTACTGAAACAAATAACAAACATCAGTAATGTGAATGTTCACATCAAATAACACTGATATGAATGTTTACACCAGTGGTCAGTAATGTGAATGTTCACATCAATTAACACTGATGTGAACGTTTACACCAGTGGCTAGTAATGTGTGTTTATCCATTACTGAACAGTAATGTGAATGTCCACATTATTGATGTCAACTTCCACACCATTGCCCAATAATGTGAACATTCACATCAGTAATGTGTATGTTTCACATTTGTTTTGTTGCTAACATCACATCAATCTACACTAATGTGAATGTTTACACCAGTGTCTATTAATGTGTGTTTGTACATTACTGAACAGTAATGTAAATGTTTACATCACTGATGTCAACTTCGACACCATTGCTCAGTAATGTGAACATTCACATCAGAGTGGGTAGACCCCGTAAATGTTCATATTAAACATAGAATAAGTTTTATAAGATTTACCATTAACAACATAGCACATCCGGTGACTCGTCCTGGTTTTCCCCAATTTTGGCCCAATGAACCCATCAGGGTTGCCCGGATGCTCTCAGCCCAGTCATACTTGTTTAATGGGTCCATGTATGAGTATAAAGCCCATCCGATTGTTTCTCCAGACGTAGAAAAAAATAGTTTGACGCATGCATACATGCAAACTAATCTTGTGACCTCTTCATTGTCTTGTTTCTTTGTGCCCTTTAATGCTTCGTTTAGAATGTCTCATATTTTGGTAGCACTTAACCGACTAATATCCTTGCACATTCGGTGTATGATGCCGGTCGTTGGTTTTGCACCATAAAAGAGGTCTATCGACTTGGTGCCGCAGTCTACCCCAAAGATAAATGATACATCACTTCTAAAAATCTGAATGCTCTTGTCCCCGATGTAAAACCTCCCACTAGATGGCTTGAATGTCTGCACTATACGCACAATGACATCATCGTATTTCATGTAATGGTTGAGGTCGACTTCATTACTGATCAAACAGTCAAATAAGGGCCAAAATAGTGTTTTTCTAAGGCACTTCAATTGACCACTTGTAAATTTTGTATCCTTCAACAGTTTCACCAATCCTGTTATATTTGACCGGTAGTTAACCTTTTCATGTTTACTTGTTCAAGACTAGCTGTTTGATCGGGTTTGCCTTTGGCACGCGATTCCCCTCTCTTCCGTTTGCCATTAAATCTACGGGGAAGACCTGTTTGTTCAAATAAGAACATATAATTGGCTGAAAAACAGAGGGTGGAACCAACAACTCCCAACAACACCAACAAGTCTGACATTGATGTCACAATGTGAATATTTACATCATAGTCCATCACATTGTTGAGTGAAGATTGGGGATTCTATGGACATCAACAATCAACAATATCAACAATGACAGTAATGTGAGCATTCACATCATTATACACTAATGTGAATGTTCATATTAGTGTCTACTAATGTCAGTTTATCCAGTAATGAACAGTAATGTGAATGTTCACATCATTTATGTTTACAAAATCAATTCCGAAAATAACAACAGTTATAGGGCAATGTAAATGTTTACATGGGTTATCACATTATGTTATAATTGGTTAAAAAACAAAGGGTGGAACCAACAACACCAACAAGTCTAACATTGATGTCACAATGTAAATATTTACATCATATTTCATCACATTATTGAGTGGAGATTGGGGGTTTTATGAACATCAACAACCAACAATATCAACAATGACAGTAATATAAACATTCACATCATTATACACTGATGTGAATGTTCACATCATCTATGTTTACAAAATCAATTCTGAAAACAACAACAGTTATAGGGCAATGTAAATGTTTACATGGGTGATCACATTATGTTATAATTGGCTGCAAAACAAAGGGTGGAACCAACAACACCAAACAACACCCAACAACTCCAACAAGTTTGACATTGATGTCACATTGTGAATATTTACATTATAGTCCATCACATTGTTGAGTGAAGATTGAGGGTTCTATGGACATCTACAATCAACAACATCAACAATGACAGTAATGTGAACATTCACATCATTATACACTGATGTGAATGTTCACATCAGTGTCTACTAATGTTAGTTTATCCAGTAATGAACAGTAATGAAATGTTCACATCATCTATGTTTACAAAATCAATTCCGAAAACAACAACAGTTATAGGGCAATGTAAATGTTTACATGGGTGATCACATTATGATTGAAAAGCAGAAAGTGGAATGGTATTGCTTACTTTTGTTTCTCATGGTGGGTGGGTATGGACCACACTCAGTCGATGAAATAAACTCAGTCCAACGACGGGAATTTTGGAATGACAAAGCACCCTCCTTTCGATGTAAACCTTCGTAGCGGTGATATGAAGAGGAATCTGGGGTCGACGGTGGACGACGACGATGGTGAGGCGATGTGAATCTAGGGTTACGGTGAGGCGATGTGACTCTGGGTCGATGATCAGTTTTTGTTTTGAAAATTTTGTGGATTGAATAGTTGGAATGGAAATGGGTTTTTAGAATCAATTAGACGCGGGAGAGATGGAGGAGGGTTATTTCGTCCTTTTACAATTAATGGACCTAATAGAATATTCAAAAATAGTTTGGATTTTATGGAATAAAACAGTTACAAATACGATTTATCAAAAAAGAGCCCACTAAAAATTGACATGTACTATGTATTATATCATTGCAGTCACATTAAGAGAAACTTTTTTAAGAGTTCAAATTTTTTTTCTCGTTGAAAAGGCACCTTCTTGCTTGTTAGATCCAACCATGAGTTTAATTAGATAACGTTTTTGTTTTCTATTTTTAATGGAAAATGTCTCGTAGCTCAAATTTTGTGGCTCAAAAGTGGCTCAAATGGCCAAAACGGCGTTTTGGCCATTTGAGCCACAAAATTTGAGCTACGTAGCATTGTCGATTTTTAATTTATATATATATTTGTTTTTAAAAAATAAAACAGCAATAACTTTGCGGATTGTTTTCATTTCAAAAAAAAATATTTCCCAATATTACACTTGAGTGGTACTACATCTCCCAATTTCTATTTTAATCTCTAATGAGGAGAGAGAGAGAGAGAGAGAGAGAGAGAGAGAGAGAGAGAGAGAGAGAGAGCATGAATCCCCTTTTAATGTAGTCTATTTTATGTCATTGAGAGTGAATTAAGAATGCTTAATTAGAGTTCCCAAATATTTTTTTATAAATTTTTAATTCCCTTACCCCAAAACAAAAAACAAAACAAAGAAAACAAAAAAAAAACACGATAGATGATTACTTTGTTGAACAATAGATGTTTTAATTTGTTGAGCGCATGAAAAGAGGATTGGAATGGGTCCCTTGGATAAGGGGTCACTGCTGTGCGTGAAGCACAGCAGTGACTGTGGTGCCTCAATTTGAGGTGTAATATGATCTTATTTTTATGATCCAAACCGTCCATTTTGTAGGATTTGTTGAGTACTTCATGCCTACCAAAAATCATATTAATCGGATATCAACAACTATATGATCGATAACCAAAAAAATAAATAATAAGTTTTATTTTGAGAAATAACATAAATAATATGCAATCCGATCATATAGTTGTTGATATCCGATTAATATGATTTTTGGTAGGGATGAAGTACTCAACAAACCCTACAAAATAGACGGTTTAGATCATAAAAATAAGACCACAATATACCTCAAATAAAGACACCACAGTAAGCACAGCAGTGAGCCCTTATCCTTAAAAAAATCAAGATAAAAGATGGAAAAGAAAGAAAAAAAAAAAACAGTACAATTTCATTAAGCCTTAGCTGTGTTGTCCAAAGTTTATGGACATAAATTAAATGGATTGGTTGAACATAAAAATAAAAATAAAAATAATAAAATTTAAAATTTAAAATCTTGAGTTTAAATCACGATAATAATTATTAAAAATTTATTCAATCATTAATTAATCAAGAAATATGTAAACTAAATTTAATTATAGAAAATAAAAAGTAAATCAAATATCAATTACAAAATTGATGGCAGCATGCCAACATCACATAGCTGTTCCAAATTCCAATGGTACAAAGTTGAACAGCGGTGACCGCCCTTGGGGTCCGCAACTTCAATTATATCACACACCAGGGTAAGTAGGGTCCATATAACATTATTGTTATCATATTCATCCCACTTAAACAAAAAGTCAACAATCTTACAGGCCAAAAAAAAGGGCACTTTAATTTTTGGAAAATATCTCGTAGCTCAAATTTTGTGGCTCAAAAGTGGCTCAAATGACCAAAACGACGTCGTTTTGACCATTTTTATGTTGTTCTGTATTCAAAACGACGTCGTTTTGGCCATTTGAGCCACTTTTGAACCACAAAATTTGAGCTACGTAGCATTGTCGTTTTTTTCTTCCATTTTATTTATTTATTTATATAGTAATCATATAATTTTTTTATAAAAATAAAAAAATTAAATTATACCGAATAATACAAATATTAAAGACAATGATGAATTTTTTCTTTCAAGGATGAATGTGAGTAAAGTCCACATCATTCTGTATTCTTTTTAAATAAAAATTTTGATAACGTTTGGTAAAATTTTCTAAATATAATTTAAAAATAAGAGTTATATTTTAAATTTGTATACTTTAAAATTATGATTTGAGTACGAAAAATTTGTTTGATAAAAAAATTTTAAATTTTTTTTAAAATTAAGTAAAATTTTTTTGATGTGACATGATATTTGATACAAAAATTTACAACTTATAACCTAACACACAACTTAAAATTCTATTAAAACTCACAAATTTTTTTTAAAAATTCAAAAAATATTTTTTTTGAATATATAAAAATTAACGTGTCAATTGCCAAAAAAAAAAATACACTGTTCCGGTCAACCGGTTAGGCCAAATTTCAAAAAAAAAAAAATTTAAAAATCGAGCCTGACACAGATTTTTGCAGAGTTTTCTGTTTGTTATAAAAATATAATTTAAAATTCCTATCCAAACATGATATTAAAATGTGTGAATAGAATTACAGTTTCAAAATCCTTCAAAACACAGCCTTTATTTGTATAATATTATCTTTAATGCATTATTCCACAATTAGGGGTAGTGACGGTTGGCATCAAACCAAGCCACAAAAATGATGCCCAACTCTACTCATAGGGTAAGCCCGTCGGGCTTTTTCTAACAGACCAATCCAGGCTATCCTGCAGAATTGATCCAAGCCCTACCCAACGGGCTTGGCCCAGACTAGCTCGCCAGCCAAGTCGACATATACACAAGAAGAGAATAGCAGATTGGAGGATGAAACGAGTCATCAAGAGCACAGCCAAATTAAAACAATACGAAACAGAAACAAAAACACGCAAACAGACCAATATTAAAATTGCAGCTATGTATAGTGAAATTTATCATTAGCTTTCTGTTTTCCGGTGTCGCAGAGATCTCTACACTTTCTTTCTTTTTTACTCTGAACCACACCCTGCACATTTCTCCAGTTCCTTTGTTTTGTCAACTAAAAAAGCAAACTATATAATTACATTCTCTTCTAAACACCCACAAGCCTTCTTGCTTGATTGCTTGCTGTGATTAGCATTTCCAATAAAAGCATTTTTACATAAATATATCTATATATATCATGCTTCTTTGTTGACTCCACTCTTAAATTAAAAGGGAGAAGAAAAACAATGTGTTGTGTTTTTTCTGTAATTAGATATGAATTTGCAGCTAGTTACTGACTTACTGATCCGAGATTAGAAGAGTCGATAAAAGGAGAGCTTTGTTTTGTATCCAACCTTTGAAATGATCTTGAACTTTGGTTACTCCCTATCTCCTTTATTTCTTCTTTGTTTCTGAATCTATGTTACTGTTGAAATGCCGCTCCCTATTGGAGTTGTGAATGGACTATCTGGAAGATTAAGTCCTTGACTGCTGCAATTTTTACAAATAACAGCAAAAATAAACCCAGGGAAAAAGAAACGAAAAAAAAAATAAATCAGAAAGTGATACTTCTGTGGAGTGGAATTAAAAGAAAATTAACAAAAATCTAACTCAGAAATCACGCTTTCATGTACCTCTCCTGGTCATTGTATTTTGTATTTATACGCCTAACGTTTTTGTTAGAACCGTTGTTGAGCACGTCTAGCAGATAATTGAAACCGTCAGCAGATGGGAGCTCCGTCTGTTCTGCACGTGCTGCAGTGTCAAGAAAAGAAAAAGAAGAAACATCAAACAAGAAGGATATAGAAATAAAGATTTCATATAAACACAGAAAGAAAAGGCATAGCTAGATTAATAATAATAATAAAATTGTTTAGTGAAAGTAGAGATTGAAAAACCTTCTGGAAGCGTGAACTCGTCCATTGAGTAGCCAAAATACTGTTGATGATGGTTTATGGCTTTTGGTATTAATCGCAACTCTGAGAGATGCCTCCTCTCAAGTTCAAGTGCCTGATGTTCTTCCATGAGTTGCTTCTTGAGCAATCTTGAATTGTCACAAACTCTAGGCACTGAAAAGATAAATAGATGAATATTATCTGACTCAGAAGACATTTCCGAGCCAGAAAAAACCTTGTAAAAACAAGTTCAAATAAATCTACATTTCTGTTGAGTACTTGGGTGAAGCTCGGATTCTTGATCACCAAAGTGTGAACCATAGTACATAGAGTGCTGAATTTTCTCCGCATATTTCCTGCACAAAATTAAGTCTCGGATTAGACCTCAAAACAGTTGTAAAAACATAGTTTCGGAAGAAAATTTCCTCAAAATGCCCTATAATTTCCAAAATCTTCATAAATTGCTGGAAGACTAATAAAAGATTCTTTCTCCATTAGAATTTCTAGTGATAGTTTTAAAAAAAACACTTAGGCCATGTTTGTTTGGGCGGACTGGATTAGCATTCTCATGACTAATAGTCCTAGGACTACGAATTCGTTGGATTATGTATCCTATCTTAACTAATAGTCAAGTTTAAAATAATTAGTCCGTACTTCAATTATTTAATCAAACATCGGATTAGTAATTTTATTGGATTATTAGTCCAATCCCAAGCTCATGTCCACCCAAACAAACATGACCTTAGTTTAGTCCGAATTGGATAGGGGTCTAGAGGGGTAAATTGGGCAGAGTCTTTAACATTCCGAGTTTTAACCATTTCGGAGAAGGGGCTACTGCAGTGCCTACTGCTGCCCCTTTGTGGGAGGTCTACCCGAATATTTTTCAATAATCTGAACCGTTCATATTATAGGATTCATCAAAAATATTATTCATGTAAAAAATCAAGTGAATCGGATATTCATAACCCCATAATTAGATCCTAATTGTTTTTAAAAATTTATGAAAGTTATGTTAACCGTTAATTTTTATAAGAACAAATGTACTTTGGTTACAAGGTTACAGATATCCAATCAATTTAATTTTTTGTATGGATGACCTACTCAATGAATACTACAATATGAATAGTTCAGATCGTCAAAAAACACTCGGGAAGACCTCCCACAAGAGGCACGATAGTAATTGTTATGCCTTAAGCTACAGCTGTACCCCATCTCCCTGGTGGGCCTTGGTAAAAGAGTTCTTAATCATTTTTAAAATACTTGCTTCGGAAAAGTGAGAATTAAATGGAGCCTTTAACTAAAGTTATCGTTAGATGACAAAAAAGTGATAACTTTGCAAAGTAAGCACTTGACATTATTAATAAGGACACAACTATCCATTGGAATCCTAAAAGGTGGAAAAGAAATAAAGGTTGGAAATGTGCATTATTGAGGTTGACAATAGAATCAATCAAACAATGCTAAAGAACCAAAGCCATAATGACCATTTTGATAATCAATTCCACAAAGAGATTCATGGTCCAATTATTTGTGTACATGAACTCAAAAAACACGAATGGCACTGGTGAACTTTACCAAAAGGGCGATGTAAGGTGCCTAACACCTTCTAAACAACATCAAAAACAAGATGACACTACAAGATTACCTCTTAAAACAGATCAAATTATACCTGTCAACAAGCCTCGACTTCTCCCTGTAGGGTTTCACTAGAACACGAGCCCCACAGACAAAATGAGGATTCCCCTTTGCCAAAATCTGCTTGACTGTCTCGGGAAAAACAAAGGTGACAAACCCAAACATCCTCTTCTGTTGGCAAGGAATCCTCACATCTTCAACAGGCCCAAATTTACTACACAACAAAAAATATTTCAACACAAAAATGAATGTTTTGACACAAACAAAACATATTACAAAATTCCAGCAACTACCAATCATGCCAACATTCTTACTTGAAATAGTTGGAAACATCATGCTCCGTAAAGGTGCTCTCAGCCGGAAAAGTAAGATAAATCTGCCGAGAACCAGAAACAATTCCTCCTCCATGATCACTTCTTTCACTGATGAATTCCATGTATTTTGGAACATCTTCTGCCAAAATTACTGAATGCTGGCCGTGAGGTCTGCAAATCAACGATAACCGTAGTCAAGTGATTACTATTAAAAAAATTGAACACTTCAACATCTAAATGCTATTATAAGCAATAAAAAAAGAAAAATTCACCTGTCAATAAGGCGAACACTGTTCTTGAGTTGAGCAAGAAGTTTGGTGAGGCTATACCCAACCTTACCATGTCTCTGGCTCTCCGTAAGGTACCCCTCAGCCTGTAGTGTCCTTCCATACTTCTCATAGTACAACATTGGTAAAGAAGCAATTGAAACAGGAATCCCTCCCCTTGATTTCAAAAGCTCAATAATTTCAAACTCTAACTTGTCAAGAGACCTAGGCGAGAGGGTGTGATATTCATTTGGGAGTTCATTTGAACTGGGGCTGAAGCATTCCGGCATGGGATGGCCGTGGAAGTACCTACAGTTGTTTCCATGCTTACAGAATCCCTTTGTGAAGTAATGGCAAATCTTAACCGGAAATTCAGGCAAGCTCGGAGACCTCCTCTGGCTGTTTCTTGGGCCTAATGTGGATTCTGGGTAATAATAATTGCTAGAGAAATCCGAACCAACTGAATTGACACAGTCTAACTGATCTTCCAGAGACAAGAACTCAAGTTGGGGATCCCAGCAAGCATTGGTGGCTCGGAGACTTGAGGGAGATGAAAGAGGCCGTGGTAAAGATGGTGAGAATGGCGTGAACTGTAAAGGAAGATCTGAAGCTGGTGTTGGGGATAATCCAAGGTCGGTTTTTGCTTTGTTGATCAGAGAGTGGAGCAACTTATCGGGACTGAAGACCAGGCGGATCATGTCACGGTCGCCGTGATCTTGTATTAGGAGATAGCCAAGGATTTTAGAGGCGTTTTCGGGCTCTAACTTCTGGATCCTATCGTATACAACCTTAGTAGACTCGGGAAGGTCCATCTCAAACCTTAACCTTGAAATCAAAATTTGTGTTTGCTTAGATGCTATGAACTTATAATTCAAACATACATTAACTAAATTTAAGAAAGTAAACAAACACTCCACAAATTGTCTTGAGGAAGAGAAACTAACGAAGCCATTGAAACACATGCAGATCTAGCAAACCCAGGAATTAACAAAACAGAACTAAATTAATGGAAGTACAAAAGGGTAAAGCCATAGTAGAAATGAAAATGGATAATTATTCAGCCATTTTATTCTAGTAATTGCTTGAACCACATTCACTTCATTGTTACTAATCTTACCAGTAATCAACAAAAGATCTTCCATGAATTGCTGTGGAAGGTGAATGAAACCTTGAGGATGCTCAAAAAATCGGGAATCAAAAGGAAAATTATTTATTTATTTCTATGTTAAAAACCAATAAAATGCTGATTCCCATGTTGACTAAAGTAGAAAATCAGAATCAAACACAACCACTTTCTTTCTTTTCCAAGAGAAAATGAGATAAAAGAATCATCTTCTCTCCAACCAAACTCGAACTAACCAGAAAATGCCATCTTAGAATAGCCGAGCCTGCTATAGTTGCATTTTGCATGTGTTGCATTAGGCATTTTTTTTTTTTTTTTTTTTTTTTGGTCTTATCCATAAAACCCAATTGCTCTTTTCAACATAAGAAACCATTTGGTCTAGAAAAATGAAGAAGAGAACAGTCATTAAGAAAGAAAATGGAAAAGGACACATTTTTCTCGTTAACCAAACAACTTTAGAAGAACAAGAAAAAAGATTCTTAAAATTTCTCAACAACATTTTTTAAACAAACCCTTGACCACAATCAATATTTTCCACAAGAATTGCACATTCCCAGGGATTAAACAACAAAAAAATAAATAAAATCAAAGCTTGTAATTTTAACATGTGGACGGAAACCCAAGACACACACACACCCAAAAACATTTAAAAACAAAAATAAAAAATAATCAACCCATGTCAAAAAAATCAAAAATTCCCAAAGAAATGAGCAGATTGAACACCATGAAAACAAAAACTTGAACATTTAAAAAGTTTTCAAATTTTGGTGAAACCCACACCCATAAAATACATACTAAACACTCTATCATTGTTCTACACCATTTCAAAAAGAAACCCACTTCTAAATTCAATATTTAAAAAAGATTACCACAAAAATAATAATAATAATAAATTATTAAAATTTAAAAAGCCATGAAAATTTACCATTTTTGAGAAAGGATCTAATACCCACCAAATCTTGCAGGCCTCTGAAAAGAGAAGCAAGGTCAGACCAATCAATCCATGGGCTCAAATTCCTCCATGATTGATTAATTACTCTCTCTCTCTCTCTCCCCCCAGTTTTTGCTATTTTTATCCTCTTCTGGTTCTATAACTATGCCCTCTCCGCAAAAAAATGAAACCAGTTTTAGAAAAAGCAAACTACATGCACGGTATATACACGATATGTATAGCTTTAAATTAAAGGGCGCCTTGTCCTCAGTTCAAATCAACACAAGGCGGCCCCCTCGCTCTTTTTCTCTATCTCTCTATAAAATCACATAAATATATGAACAAATTTAAACCTTCGTTTGGCAATCACCTTTTTAGTTGGTTTTTGAATTTTTTGAATTTTTTAGTTTGAAACTTTTTTGTTAGTTTGGTATTTTTAATTGACTTTTTAACTTTAGAATGGTGAATTTTTTTTTGTCTTTTTGTGATTTTTGGGTTTTTATGATTTTTTAATTTTTTTTTTTTTGTGATTATTTAGTCAAAAATAAAAACCAAACACCACAAATAAAATTTATCCAAACATTTTTATTTGAAATAATCTGACTATTGATGCTTTTAAAATCAACACATTTTCTTTTAAATAGGTATATATGAATATGAATAGATTTAATTCGAATATATCAGTGTGGGTAAGCCTTACACTGTTTTTAAATTTCAAAATTACTAACAGATCAGCTAAATTTATTGTTGGGATAAAGAAATTTATATGGTGTGGTTATTTAGCAAAGTCCTTCCATATCATATGCATTTTGTTATGGGGAGTGATTGAGACCCCCTCTAATCACCACCTCCATCATCCCTACACATACGTGGCGGCTGGTGATTAGAGGAGGAGAAAAAAAAAAAAAAAACTACGAGTCAATCAAAAAAAGAGAGGGTCAAAGGAGGTGCCTCCTTGAAGGCCCAACTCATTTTCCTTTTGTTATTTGGAAAACTCTACTATCCATAATTCTTGAAAAATGTGAATCATATACAACCTTAGTTAGGGATATAATCAAATTGGTACGGTCAGCATTTAGATAAAAAAAATTATCGAACCGTTAATGTTGATTTAATTATTTTGAATATCGATACAAATCATTTCTCCAACCAAAACACATTGATCTGAACCGATTGAAACAATTCGATTCAGCGCGGTTTAATCGGTTTAAGACCTTTCAAATTTAAACCACTTTTAAATATAATCACTAATCTTTATAAAAATATTAAATTAGTTATTTATATATTTATCCAATCCATCCATTTAATAATTATTTTCCAATTCCTAGATTAACAAACCTAAAAAAATAAAATAAGTTAAAAAATATTAATGTTTCAAGAATAATGAGTTAGAGTTAAAATTATATATAATAAGAGTTTACAAACTTAGGTTATAAATGTGATAATGTTAATAATTTATTATACTTATTAATATCATTATATTATTAGATTATATATATATATATATATATATGTTGAAGTGGCCGGTTTTGCTTTAGTTCAATGTACAAGGTGTTTGAATTGATACCAATCAAAAATAAATAAAAAAATCAAATTTAAAAACCGCATAGATCGATTCTTGTTAAAAAAAAGACCAAATATTGCCGGTTTGGTCCAGTTCAATCGGTTTTGTCAATTTTTCTTACATCCTTACCCTTAATTATGTCATTTTCTTCTTTAGTTATGATATTATTTTAGCTATGATTCGTTAAATCTTTAGTTATATCTCATGTGTAGTTTGATTATGACTTTTGTTTTTTTTAGTTATAACCTAAAAAGTATGGAATTATATCATTTTCTTTTTAATTATAAAATACATATGTATTAATTTTACATTATATAACTCTTTTCATAAAAATTTAAAAAAATCATTAAAAAGCCAATTCTCAAAATAATTCTTAGTTTCAAATTTTCTTAATTATTTTTTTATTTAAATTAATAAAAATTAATCAGTTAACTACGATTTATTTAGTTGACAATTAATAAAAAAATAAAATTTTAATTCGATTTTTCTTTATTTAAATCTTTGTTTGTTCGCCGGTTATCCAAAATCAATTTCAAAATTGATAACTGATTCAGTTTGATAAAGGGGAAATCCTATGCATCCTAACACAAATAGTGTAATTTTATTATAAATTTTTGTAATATCAATCACAAAATACATAGTTTTTTCACAAATTAATGTAATAAAATGTTTAAAATTTTATAATTCATGAAACAAAAGTTTGCAATTTACTTACGATATTTTTTTTATATCAATTTATGACAAAATTATAACTTTTATGATTGATATTATGAAATTTTATAATAAAATTACACAAATTTATGAAAAAAATATCAATGGTATAAGATTTCCCCTTCAAATTAATCATAATTAAACTTAAATAGTGGGACCCACTAGTGCTGTTGTTTGTTTATAAAATAAATAAGAGTTTTAAATTGATGCTTATAGATAAAAAAAAAAATTCAAATTACATAACTCTGTTTGGTTTTCAGTTTTTAGAAATAATTTTTTTAAGATTTTAATTTGTATTTTTATATTTTTAATGAATTTTTAAAAATATTTTAATTATTTTTTTTATTTTTAGATTCACTTTATTTTATTATACTTAAAAAGTAAAAATTTGTACAAACATATTTTAAAAAATATTGAATATAACAAACTACAAAAATATATTGAATTTTTTTTTTTTTTTGTATTTGGTAAATTTTTTTTAAAAAATCAAAAATATTATATTTTTTAAACATATTTAGATTAGATATATTTAAAAAATAAAAATTTGAAAATTAAAAAAAATCAATTTTATAAAAAAATAGATTTAATTTTCTGAAATCAGACAATGTGATGATTTTGGAGTGGGACGAGTGTATAGCATGGCATGGATAATTCATGTGGCAAGTTTGGTAAGGTCAAGTTTGGCAACTCAAAATAAGTATACATTTTTTATCTTTTTATCTTTTTTTTATCATATTATCTCTCTATTTTTCTGCACATCTTTTCGTAAAAAGATAAAAAGTACACTTATTTAGGTCATCTCAAACAATCCCTAAATCTAACCAACGGAAAATTATCTATCTTTTAGAAATTTTATGTTGGATGTGTGTACAATTAATAGTAAGAAATTAAATGAATATATTATTCTAATAATAAAGAGATGGTGGATAAATTATAACATAAACACGTGATCTTCGTGACTTACTGGATAATTTATGCTTACCCATACATTTGTCATATTTGGGAGAAATTTTTGTATGTCAATAGTAAGATTGGGCATAGGGTTATCCGACCCACTCAAACTATCCTATCTGGTCCAACCTGCACACACATGGACGGTTTCGCAAATACATTAAGATCGGGTGCGGTTTGAATTTTAGCTGATTTTCGAGTTACGGGCGGGTTGCAGGTTTGAACAACACCCGTCCAACCCCCCACATTAATTTTTTTTTTTTTAATATTTCAAATCTGGACCGTTCTTTTTTTTTTTGATGAATAATCTGGACAGTTCATCTTCATCTATATCAAAACAAAACAAAAACCCTAATTTCATCTTTCAAACTCAATTTCATCTTTCAAACTCAAAACAAAGCGCATCTTTCACTCTCTCTCGTGTTTCAGTCTCTCACTCTCTCGTTTTTCATCTGGACCGATCAACCTAGCGAGAGATCAAATTTCTCTCCTCGCAAGATCGAATCTTTCTCCGGCAACTCTCAGGTATGTATGTGTGTATGTGTGTGTGTGTCTCTCTCTCTCTCTCCCCAATTTCTGATTTTTTTGTGGGCATTCAGATCTGTGTCTCTCTGTGCGCAGCCTCTCTTCTAATCTCACTCTCTCGTTTTTCCATCTCTCTCTCTCTCTCTCTCTCTCTCTCTGTGTGTTGACCGGTGAAGAGATCGATTGACCTTCGCAAGATCGACTCTGCTCTGCAACTCACAAGTGAGCCTCTCTGTCTCTGTCTCTGTTCGACCTTCTCTTTATTTTTGTCTCTGACTTTGTTTTTTTTTTTTTCGTTCATCTCTGTCTCTGAGTTTATTTGTTTATTTTGTTACAAAAGGTTAAACTTTGGGGGTTTTTTTTTTTTTGGAGGGGGAGCGGGAAAGAGCAGTCATGGAAGAAATTTTGGAAATGATATTCATCAAATGAATCAATGGCTACTATGTAAATTCTTGATCTAGGAAGAAAGAAAGGTTCTGAAGTGTTGTTAGGTCTGTAAAAACATAAATCTTGAGATTGTGATTTTCATACATAAGTACATTGGATTGATTGGATATTCGTCAGTATAATTGTGATTTTTTTTTTTTACTATGCTTCTACTTGGTTGATTTTTTTTAAAAAAATATTTAATGTCATGTATATATTAGTTGCAGAAGCATAAGTTTATTATTTTATGGTTCATTGATGTTCTCATTTTTTATCCACAATTACATCTTACTTAAATATGGATGATGGAATCGTTAATGCAAGTTTATGAGGGTTTGGCTATTTATATTTTAATGAAGATAATTTTTGAGATGTACAAGGTTTATCTTCATATGATCTTTTGTTTATGTTACATCTGCTTTTTGTTCTTATGGATCATACAGCCTTGGTGGCCGAGATAAAAGAAATTAAGGAGAAAACACAAAAAGTGGATGATGTGGTTCTGGCTATAGCTGCTGGAAGCAGACATCTTATATTCCAAATCTTGAATTTGAATACTCTGATACTAATATTCATGAAGATTTGTATAAGATTATTAAATATTCTCGTGAGATCATATAATTGATGATCTGATATACTACCAAATTTCCAGTGGTTCATTAATATACTACTTTTTGTTTTGTTGATAAATTCATTAATATATTACTTGATCTTGTTACCTCAAGATTTAGTTTTGATTTTAATGAAAGAAATATGTTATTGATTGTGGTAACTTAAGATGTAGTTTAAATTAATGATAGAATATCTGTCACCTCTTCTCTTTCTTCTCCATAACATTCCATTCAAAGTTCTCTTTTTTCCCCATATTCAATTTTTGTTTATTAGATCTGTTATGTTATTGAATTCGTTATGTTATTAAATCTGTAATTATGTTATTGAAATCGAATTTGTAATTTTTGTTATCCAGTTTAAATGGACGATAGTGTTCAATCTTCCGCAATCAATCTTTTACCTCTGGAATCTTCTAATTCTCAAATGAATCCCCCCTTAGCCGAACCCAAACCCGAACCCGAACCTGAACCTAAGCCTCCTAGACCCCCAAAGAAAAAGAGTAAGGGTGGAGAGGGGAGAACACCATCCACAGTTTGAGATCATTTTGATAAGGTTATAGGGACCGATGGGAAGCATAAAGTCGTATGCAAATATTACAAGAAAGAGTATTTGGCTGGCTCTAAACTTCATGGGACTTGCAATTTAAGAAGTCATACACCCAATTGTAAGGAATATCCAAATAAGGATAGAGATGGTCAACAAGCATTAAATCTTATGTTGGAAATGGTTTTGGAAAAATCATACTTTTTCTCAACTTTGGTCTAATTTTTAGGTGGGACCCATGTGCCAAAGTTGGCGAGTCTAAGTGGTAATGCGTTCTATGCCGCGTTGTGATTCACATAGTATATTTGGTTGTTCAAAACCATTATCGGTTGAATAGGAAATCGAAGCCAAAGTGAGCTCCATGGAAATAGTATATTGGTAAAGTTTCCTTAAAGGTTTGTCCCACTTTGGTTTGGTGGGAAAATTTTTGTGGGTTTATAACGCATGGGTTTGCAACTTGAGGAGGGCCACAAGGGATATCCAAGTTTTATGGAAGGGTGAGGTTATGGGTAAAGTGAGCTAGACCCACTGGACCCAAAATAAACACACACCTGCGCTCTGCCGCTGTCCGTCCGATTGGACTGGGCTAGGCTTGGGCACAGGTGCGTGGTGTGAGGTTGGGTTGGGCTTGTCCAGCCTAATACTTATCTTTTTGGACCAAAAAACATTTGAATTTATTTTTGTTTTTTGGAAAATAAAATCGGTCCAGAAATTCAAATTTTTTTTCTCTTCAAACAAATTCATATTTGTTCAAGTTCAAACCCAATAGCTTCTTATCTGTGTGAAATAAAACCAAACAGATTCAGTTTTTGTTCAAAATTCAAACCCAAACAGTGCCTTACCTGTTCAAACAGTGCCGAACAGATATTATACCTGTTCAAATAGGTTTACTACCTGTTTAATTCAAACCGAACAGCCACTATTGCACCTATAAATAGACAAGTCCCTCATTTGGTTTTTCACTCAATTTTCGTCCTCAAATTTGCTATTGTTCTCTGCATTTTGCTACATTTAATTTTCTGTGAGAAAGAGTATAAACACAAAGTGTGTTCGTTGTGTGAATAATTTGTAGTGCTGCTATTATTCGTTGTTGATCATTTTATTCTAGGAGATAGACGTCCACAATCTGAAAGTACCGTAGAAATGACGAATCTGTCTTAAGGACACAGTGTTAAACACTGGACTTGATCAAAAATTTGTTCGAGAAAATAATAATATAAGTGCCTTGATTACTTTTCTATTTAATTATTTTTGCTGTTCTAGATTTTGATTTTGTTTTTGTAACAAAATAAAAATCTGTTTGTTATTTATTTATTTTTATACACTGTTTTGATTTTTGTAATCAAACAGTCTTTCTCATTTTTTTATTTTTTCTGTGTTCTGTTTGTTGTTAAGTACACAAACAGAATTTATTCTTAATACAGTGAAGATTATCCAACAATTTAAATCGAAACAAAATGAAGAGTGTGTTGAGATTGTAGCAACAACTTTTAATTTTGATGCTTGTAAAAGGTCTCTTGCGGAGATGGTTGTCATTGATGAGCTGCCATTTAGATTTATGGAGGGAGTTGGGTTTAGAAGATTTTGTAATGTCATGCAATCGAAATTCACACCAATCCCCTCTCGTCATACCATATCTAGAGAAGTGCTTAACATATTCAAGAATAAAAGAAATAAGTTAAAGAAGGCCATGAAGGATCGTAGAATTTGCTTTACTATGGACACTTGGACATCTATTCAGAATTTGTGGTACATGTGTTTGACTGCTCATTTTATTGATGATAATTGGAAATTTCAAAAACGAATAATAAATTTTCAACAAGTTGAAGATCACAAAGGAGAAACATTGGGTAGAAAAATTGAGTCGTGTTTGATTGAGTGGAACATTGATAGCATATTCACCTTAACAATTGATAATGCTAGTTCTAATAACCTTATCATTCAATATTTGAAAACAATAACCAAAGATTGGAAGGGGACTATTTTGCAACATGAGTTTATTCACATGCGTTGTTGTGTATATATTCTTAATCTCGTTGTGAGTGATGGCTTGAAAGAAATGGACAATTCTATTGCCAACATTAGACTTGCGGTGAGATATGTCAGGTCTTCTCCTCATAGGCATGATGCTTTTAAGAAGTGTGCAGTCACACTCAAACTTGATTCAAAAGCTTTTGTATGCCTAAATATACCAACTAGGTGGAACTCTACCTATTTATGTTGGAGGCGGCCGAAAAGTATAAGAAGGCTTTTAACCGCTTGAAGCTTGTGGATTCCAATTTTGAACCTTATTTCAAGGATGTTGATGGTGGCATAAGGAGAAGTTCTAATGAGTTGGATTGGAAAAAATGTAGATTATTTTTGAGGTTTCTAAAACTATTTTATCTTGCAACTAAGAAGTTTTCGGGGTCTCTCTTTGTTACTTCCAATGCTTTTTACAAAGAAATGTTTGTTTTTGAAAGCAAAATTAACCAATTAATATTGGAGGAGGATGATACTTTCAGTACAATGGCAAAAATTATGAAACAAAAGTTTAGCAAGTATTGGGGGGATCGAAGTAAGATCAATTTGTTATTGTATGTTGCGGTTGTTCTTGATCCTACCAAAAAAATGGTGTACGTGGAGTTTTGCTTTTCAAATTTATTTCTTGGAGATAATAAGAAGGTGGAAGATATGGTAGACAAGGTAAAGGGTTGTTTGAGTTATTTGTATAGCCATTATGTCACACTTTATCCTTCAAATGAGAAACTTCCAAGTATGAGTGAATTTGTGAATATGGTGGAAGATGATGATGATGATCCTTATTCTTTGGTTGACTCCCAATTTAATTCTTATTTGGAGGGGCGATGCACTAGTGGATCTAAGTCGGAATTGGAACAATATTTGCCTAAGGTTGAACATTTTACAAAGAGTCAAACATTTGAGATTTTGGATCATTGGAAGGTGAATGCAACCAAATATAGAGTGATATCGCAACTTGCAAGGGATGTGTTGGCCATGCCTATTTCTACCATTGCGTCGGAGTCGGCTTTTAGTGCAGGAGGCATATTCTTGACCCATTTCGTAGTTTACTCTCGCCTTCTATGGTTGAAGCTCTTGTGTGCACTCAAAATTGGCTTCGAAGCAACCTTCCAATTTCTCTTCGATGGATGATGTGAAGGAATTTGAGCAATATGACTCGGGTAATATGAGAATTTATTTATCCTCATTTTTATTTGTATTGTTCATTTTCTAATGTAAGTTTTATTGATTTTCTCTTATTGACTCTTAATTAGGTATTTTGGAGTCAAGCTCATCTTTAAGTTCAACCTATAATGTTGATGCTAATATTATAATTGAACTCTAATCCATTTGCTCATCGGTAAATTTTTCATATACTCAACACATTTTCTTACTATATTTATTGAGATGCAATATGTAGGCATTTTTTTATCTTTTCATTACTTTATTCTTTTACACTTTTTTTGTCAAAGGAATTATGTAGATTGAAGATTAAATTTTTTTATTTTTCAGTTTGTTTTTGTGCAGGGTTCATTAACCAAATGCTGGGAATTGAAATTTTTGGAACTTGAATGTGATTCATGATGATGGAGTTTGAGATATTGTATTGCAAATGTTTTTATTTTATTTGACAACAATTTTATTTTATTTTTTTATTGCATTTTGGATGAATGTAATAGTTAATGAAGTTTGTTTGACAACTATTTTATTTTATTTTATTTTCATTTTATTATTGCTTTGGATGAATGTAATAGTTAAGAAGGTGGAAGATATAGTTAATGATTTTACTTTAATTTTGTATTATTGGGTAGTAGTAGATGGAGAATGTTGAGAAAGTAGTTGGAGAATGAGATTGATGATTTAGCTTAGGATTGTGAATGATTTTACTTTAATTGTATTGTTGTGTAGTAGATTAATTTTGAATGATTTTAGGATTTTAAATGATTTGTTTGTGTTAGGAATTGATTTTGTTGTGTTTTTAATTTTATAAGTTTTAATTCTTTAATTATTAAAATTGAAACATTTTAGAAAATTGGAAGAAAATGACCCAAAATTAATATTTACAAAATGGGAAAAAAAAACTCAAAAATTAATTTTTAAAGGAAAAAATCTAAACCGCAAACCACCCACAACCATCCGCACATCTGCAAACCCTATCCTCACGAATCGCAAACCGCACTACGGTCGGTTGTGATTTATTTTTTCCCAAACCGCATAGGTGCGGACAGATCAAAATCGAACCGCAAACCGTACAAATTCGATCCGCGAGCATCCCTAGTCAATAGGGTACCACGTGGCACTACCTTTCACAAATCATATATATGTATGTCTCTTATTGTTCTTTAAACACCCAATATAAATGTAGTGAACTTTAATGTTAAATCCAATCATAATTATTGGCTTTTTGGCTTTCGAAAGTTATTTTTGTAATTATGAGCGTGCCAGTAAGGATCAATCAGCCCTTACAGAATTTTAATTGCCAACCAATTATTCAGACGATTGTGTTATAGTTCTTTCAGCCTCAATGAAGAGAACTTTTACTGGTAGCTTTGATTTAGGAGAATTTAAGCATAAGAACAGTTAAATAAAGAACAATTTAAGCATTTCATTAGTATGAAAAACTTACAATGATCCAAACTCAGCCTCGTAGAGATTTACAGCGACAATATACTTGAAACTACTCCTATGAATGAAGTGTAGTGCAAGAATTTAAAGTACAGAAATGTAAAGAACAAGAAATATAAAAACTGGAATGAAATATGTAAAGTAAGACTGGTTTTTTAGATCTGAGCCCCATTTTCCTGGGGTCTTCCCTGCTATTTATACTCCCCAAAGATAACCATCGAACTGCACTTCAAACCGTCGAACTACTCCTCTGTGATCGCTGATCATGCTGCCTTATGAATAGTTCCACTACGCTTTCACTTGCAGTTAGGCTTCCCTTCTATATTTGAATTTGAATGTGAGTAACCGTTGAAGCCATGTCACTTTGCATCTCTTTGTTGATCCACTGCTACTCAGATCTTATAACAACCAATATTAACTGCCACATGTATGATCAGGATCGGAGACTTGACTGGTTTCCCCATATTACCCTTACTTTGCCACGTGTCGAATTGTTACTGGCTTGCACAAAATATGTAGCCAACATTACCCCCCGCACTAATATACCAAAGACTTGGTGATATTAGTGGATCAGGGTCTTTTCCCCACGTCTTAGAACGTGCATGGGTTTTGCATCTTCCCAGAAATGCGACTGTCACTCACCATCTCACGTGTATGATCAGGATCGGAGACTTGACTGGTTTCCCCATATTACCCTTACTTTGCCATACGTCGAATTGTCATTGGCTCATACAAAATATGTAGCCAACATTACCCCCCGCACTAATATACCCAAGACTTGGTGATATTAGTGGATCAGGGTCTTTTCCCCGCGTCTTAGAACGTGCATGGGTTTTGCATCTTCCCAGAAATGCAACTGTCACTCACCATCTGTATTAAACTCTCGTTTAATCCTTTAAGCACTTCCACTGTCTTAGCATTCGAACAGACTGATACATTTCATGGCTGAATTAATTTTTTCCTCCAGTGATCGAGCACACGAAGAGTCATATATCGATGCTGTTCCTCCTCGAAAGAACGTCCATGCATTTATTAGCCACCTTTACCCACCTTTCTATATTCAAGTCATGGATGCCTTTGCAAATTACCAACCTTTGGATTATGAACACATTGCTCTTAATCCTTCGATTCAGAAAGTTGCAGGTATAGACACAAGTAGTTCCTCCTCTAACTCACCCTTACAGTTCGAACAAACTGCTCTCAAATCTTTGATTCAGAAAGTTACAAATATGGACTTGAGAAACTCTTCCTCACAAGTCTCTATATGGGATAAAGCTGCAACTTCTTCCTCTTCTGAGGGTTCTGACTGGACAAGCTGGTCAACACCTGAGACCTGTGATTCGAAGAAGCGAATCAACCATCATTTTGTTGAGTTCACTGACCCTTTAGAGTTTCCTTCCTATGCTCGAAGTTCAGTGGTCTATCCCTACGTGCCCATTGACCATCGACGTAGTCTGGAGGAGAATCTGTTTGAAGCATGGTATACATCCTCCATGCCTATAAAGATAATGTACGCTGCCCGATGCCTAGAAGAAGCACAAGGGTACAACCCATCATTCTTAGCCCAGAAGGCGAAGATTTGTTCTTCTGACTGGCTTGATTATATTAATGCCTTTGTTCCTTCTGCTCTCGTGTCATCTCAAAAAATAGAAGCGTCCACACCTTCTTCTTCGTCTCCTTCTCCTCTACCAACTCTTTGCTGGACAGAGAGACTGAGGCTTGCCCTATCCATGAATAACGTCTTTCCACCTTATAAACCTCTACCTTCTCCTACTCCAATTGAGCGGAAACAAGCTCAATTTCTGCTTGCAGCTTTCTCTCACTTGCCTTTCAATGTTCTTGAGGACGAAGTCCCTCTCAAGAACCTTCGATGGGCTTGTGATATTCTGACTAGGGGCCATGTCCTTAATCCCCTTGCCCAGGCAGAAGTTTATATGTTTCTGGACCAACTTCCATTGCTTCTCTACTGGCATCGAAATTCTATAGTCACTACACAATCTTTAGACCAACTTTCGTCTCTTCGAATTCATGCTCAATACGAAGCAGAGAATTTCATTAAAGAATTCGGTGATTTCAAGAATAAAGATTCTGCGTATTGGGATGACTTAGACATTGACGAATTGGAACAAGGATTGAGAGAGGTGGCTTTCGAAATAAAGGCTGAAGAGCTCTACTACGAAGTAAGAGCACATCAACTTATGCAACCAATGCTAGAAGACATAGAAGATAGAATAAGGAAAGAACAAAAATTTATTGACCATTGTTGGACTAAATTTCATAATCTTGTTATTTATTCCATTCCTTATATTTATGAGCTTGAGTTTATACCGAGATAGGGTCATCCGATGTAATCGCTTTGGCTTTAATATAAACAAAATTCTTTTTCATTTGGCATTGTTTGACCCTGCTTCCATTTGTCTTTTAAAAGCCAATTCATAGCTTTGAACTGAACAATCTCATCCTTCGAATCTGGACTTAATTGTTTTAAATGAAACACTAAACGAACCAATTATGAACTTTTCCAATTTGTGGAATAAAGTTGACAATTTTGGCTGATTTTCAATTAGAAACAGTGCTTCGGATCTAGCAATCTTATACTTAAAGTTTGTTTCAACCATAATCAACATCTAATCATTGTCATTATGATCAATTAGTTTGAAATTGACCATCTTTTGCTTCGAACAACAGTTCATGCTATTTTAGTTCAACAGACAACCCTCCCTCTTTTTTTTCTTTTATATAAACCAACCATTGGTTTTGATGTTTCGAACACCAAATCCCATCCTTAAAGAATCTCAAGTTTTGCCTCGAAGGACATTACCTTTTGTAAAAAACCTAAAAAACCGGTCTTTAAAAACCCTTTGAAGTAAAACAAACACTCAAGTATTCTTATATTTTTGGGTATGGAAATGTGCTTCGAAGCCGGCTTCTCTGTTTCGAAGCCGTTGTTTTTTGGCACTAAAACTTGGCTTCGAAGCCAAATATCTTACTTCAAAGCCAACCTTAACATCTGGGCTTTGTTTTTCCCTCCAAAAGTATCAATATTGAAGGAAGCTCTTTGTATTCGTACTTCTAGTACTTGACAACTTACGCAATATATTTTTCAGACACAAAAGCTTTAAAAACCCTTTTGTTTCGTGCTCTAAAATCACTTGCTCTTTTAACGCACAAACCCCTCTTTCTACCGATCTTTGGCTTCTCTCTACTTCCTTTCTCGGCTTCACTTTCAAGAAAAGCATACTGTCAATGGCTTCTTCTTCAGTACCAGTCATAGAGCGTGCGAGCCCATCTGTGACCCTGAAGAGGATCATTGATGCAGAATGTGAGAAGTACAAAGCTAGGGAGAAAAGGGTTATTAATGGACGCATCTTCGTCCCTCGTCGCCATGTGCAGCAAGACTACGTGCTTGGGCCCATATTCGAAGAAATCCTTATTGAGCTCCCAGCCCTATATCCTCATCTGGAAAACCAATGTCTCCTTTACGAAGGTGGTCTTGACTGGAGGAACTGGAGGATAAATCGCCCCCACCGATGCTGGCCCACGGTGAGACCAGAGTGGCAAGAATGGTATGACCGGGTTGTTGCTGCTAGGACCCTAGATCTTCAAGAACCCTGCCTTCTCGATGCTCTCAGATTATCCAGGGTAACTATCTCAGAAGACCCTTTCCTTATTCTTACTGCCTTGTGTTTTTGGAATCCTATCTTTAATTTCTTTCAATTTAGATGCGGGATGATGGCCCCTACTGTTCTTGATATTTGCCATCTACTAGGATTATCCCCCATTGGTATCCCATTTGGACCGGATTACCCTGATTTAGCAGTCCCTTTCTCTCTCCCCTCCCTTAACTCATCTTATAGTGATTTCGCTAGGGCTGAGAATAAAAGAGAGGGCCCTGTGACTGCTAGGGAATTCTTTTCTTTCCTATTGTATTGGCTTTGCAAATTCCTCTTCTGCACCTCCTCTCAGAGAATCATGCCTGAATTTGCCCCTCTTGCCAAAGCCTTTATTTTACAGAAAAAGGTGGCCTTAGCCCCACACGTTCTAGGTCACGTATATAGAGTCTGCTCCCTTTTCTGTGAGAAACCCTTAGATGCTAATCAAGGGGGGCCATTCTGGATTCTTCAATTTTGGCTTTTTGCCTATTTTACTGAGTTACAATCCAAATGCC